AATTTTTATTTCTTTATTATCTGTGTCTTTTTCCTGTCACTGGCATTCTGTTACACTGTGGAAACTTCTGTCATGAAAACAAATTCCTTGTATGTGTAAACAAACCTGCCAATAAAGCTCTTTCTGATTCAGGCAAAATTAAACATCACCCTCACATGAAACAGGAAATGCTTTAAAAATGAACTGTGTTTTATGAGTTGTTTTTCTTGTGGGGCCCCAAAAAATGACATTTTACTGGTATTGCCATACTTGTGGGGACATTTGATCCCCACAATGTCAGGAATACAGTGTACACACACACACATTGCAGTTAGCAGTGCAGTGATGTGGAGATGAGCTGTGACTGACTTGACATCTGTCAGTGAAACTAGTTCGACAATCTTTAAAAACCAGCTGCTGTTCCTCAACCACCTCCTTTCTCACTTTCATTTTCTGCCTTTCATTATCCATCTCTTATGCTCCAGAAAAACAACACCGCTATTCTCACTCGAAGCCACACTGCACCACCTGAGCTACATATAATGACAAAAACATCTCCAATATTGTCAAATGCTTTGTGACAAGACTTCCCAGCCATTGTTTCCAGAAACTGTTTCAAGTCTCGAACACATTTCCAGCGCTTCCTCTGTCACGACTGCTAGAATAACGCACAGAGTCTGTCCTCCTCTGCCATGTTCCCGAGACACTGAGTGATTCTTCTGCTACTCATTAGCACTTTCAAGACAGCTTGGTCTTTTCTTCAGTGTAATGATTCAGCTGTTTCAACAATTCTGTTCGTGTTTTTATCATCACAATTTGTCATTTTGCTGTTAAGAAAAGTAACTTGAAATTAATGTTTTACAAGATTAGTTTGTGTTGGGATTGTTCTGTGACTCTTTCTACGGTTTAGTTACCCAGCGGGCACCTTTATGTCAGACGATCCTGCTGCAACTTAAGAAAATATGTGCAATTAAAGAAACATGCCAGCAAATTAAAGCTGCTGTATGTACATTTTTGACTCTTCTAAAGCATAAAAATACTATAATATGTTTGCAGATATTTAAGAAACATGCTAAGTGAACATTCTTGTTTATTTGAAAAATAATCCTGAAGTCAGATATTCTGCTTTGAAAATGTGTTTTCCGGAATGTTTGTCAATGGCTGTTTCTCAATTCCAAGAACGCAGAGAACGGACTTGCGTTCTTGTGGAGACCGGTCTTGCCAGGTGTCCTCGGAAGAACGAACTCAGGAGACCGCGAGGGCAGAGAACGCGTCCTTTGAGAAATGGGATGCTGCGTTCTTCCTGATGGTCATGTGACCTTCACGCGTTTTAAATGGAAATTATTTAAACATTACAGCACTTATACAATGATTTATTGTTTTTCCCCTCTTCAAAATATATTTTGCATAAAAACATTAGAAATATACTCTGCACAATATAAATAAAACAGATTTTAATACGAATTTCAGCAAACAACTCTTAATGTGTTTATTCCTTTATTAAGATGTTCATGTTAATGTTTACTTTCACCGTTTCATTTAGGGAAACTCCTGAGGTAAATAAGTGATATCTCTAAACTTTAATAATAAATCTAAATAAAATGCAGCGCTTCCCACCTCCAGTCGCAATGACTTCTGGGACTTCCAGAGCGAGTTCGGTGCCCAATGTCAGTTTAGCCAATTATATTTCAGCACCTCTGGTTGCTTTGTTAGAAAACTGCATATTTTATTAATTCAGTCAGAAAGGCTCTCAAAGTATGAGCATGTGACCAAAATGCGACCTCTGGTGGACAGTAGCAGACTCCAAAATAAGACGCAGATTCAGAGTTCCACATAAGGCTAATTTATTTGCTAAATTAGCAAATAATCTAAATATTACAAGCATAAACATTAGGGGCCCTATCATACACTCAACGCAATGTGGTGCAAGGCACGATAGTTGTTTGCTAGTTTCAGATTGGCGCAAAAGTCGTTCTGACATTTTGCGCCATGCTGTTTAAATAGCAAATGCATTTGCGCTCATATGTGTGTTCTGATCTAAAAAAGCAGGCGTGTTTTGGCGCGTTGCTATTTTGAGAAACCATAATAGTCTGTTCTTTAGACCAGAACAAAGCCAGTCTAAAATCCGGTGCAGAGTGCACCTCACTTACACAATGCTTAATACACACAAGATGTAAAGCAATACGCAAATATCTTTACATATGAAAAAGTATGAAAATATTGAGGATATATATGATATAATAAGGATATATATATAGGATATAATTATAAAGGATTAAAATATTACAAAACACATTATTTTCTAGCCTACATAAATATGAAAAACCACTGCCTTCAATCCTTCTTCATCTCGGGAGGCTTTTTCAGTTTATTCAATTTGCTTTGGTATAATATTATCATTATTAGCAGTATTATTTATTATATCCATATTTATATTGGATTTATTAAAAACAAGCTTAGATTTGGCCACCTGTCAGGTTTTAGACCATATGGAGCAAATAACTCATTATTATTGTTCATTTATTCGTTTGCTGGAAATTAGAAATTAATTTAGAAATAGTTTTGAAACTAATTTTTGCGCTTAACAAACAAAATTATTTATGTATAGGATAATGGATTTCCGTGCGTACAAGGTTTCCCTATCCACGAGAGTGAAAGTAGATTATGAGATGCCTTATCTCTCATTCTCGCGCTGTAGATGCTCTGTTTAACTGTTTTCTTGCAAGTGAAATGCTCAGCTTTTCCTCTTCCACTTACTTTACGTCATGTAAATAGCAAATGTGCCATGGCGTGACGCAACTGGCTCTTAAAGGGAATAGGAGATGAGACTCAGATTGGTTTATTCTTAAAACACACCTATAACCCATTAAGAAAATAAACTCAACCCTTTTAGATCATGCGCCACAGCACAAAGCGGATTTTTCCATCCTTAAATTAGCAAAAGTGGATTCCCTTTAAGTGTTTGCACCCTGCACATGGACCGTCAAAATAGAGCCCTAGGTGAGCAGGTTACATTGTAACCCAGTGTTTTCTAACAACACGCTTTGTGATGAGATACGCTAGGGCTGCACGATTAATCGTATTATTATCATGATAACGATGTCTGTGGCCCACGATCAATAAAAAAATATCGTCGCAATTAAGGATGTAACGGTATTGTAAATACCGTCATACAGCAATATTAATTTTTTCCGATATTACCGAAGTCGCATGACTCGCTAAAACTATAGGTCTTCTGAGAAAATTTGCTGCAGGCGAATGAAGCGAACGGGAGGTAGCGAAAACTACATTTCCCATCAGCCCATGCTTGACCATTATCCCTTGCGGTCTGTTGTCGCTACAGATCCAGTAATGCGGAAATGGAGTGTGCTGCTAGAAGCGGGGATGAAAAAGAGCTGTAAAACTCTAAAGCGGGTGTTGTCGCCGCGCGCGTACTGAATAGTGGTGTTGTCGCGCGAGTTCTTATCAGCTGTGTTGTCGCGCGCGTACTGAAAAGCGGTGTTGTCGCACGAGTTCTTATCAGCTGTGTTGTCGCGCGAGTTCTTATCAGCTGTGTTGTCGCGCGAGTTCTTATCAGCTGTGTTGTCGCGCGCGTACTGAATAGCGGTGTTGTCGCGCGAGTTCTTATCAGCTGTGTTGTCGAGCGAGTTCTTATCAGCTGTGTTGTCGCGCGCGTACTGAATAGCGGTGTTGTCGCGTGAGTTCTTATCAGCTGTGTTGTCGCGTGAGTTCTTATCAGCTGTGTTGTCGCGCGCGTACTGAATAGCGGTGTTGTCGCACGAGTTCTTATCAGCTGTGTTGTCGCGCGAGTTCTTATCAGCTGTGTTGTCGCGCGCGTACTGAATAGCGGTGTTGTCAGCACACTGTTCAGATTGATGCAGACATGAGACCTCTATCTTACTCATGGTTTGTCCTCTCAAGTGGGGGAAAGACAATGCACAATACCCACTGCTGTCAACCTGGGCCAAGTCATATCTCTCTGTCCCAGAAACCTCAGTCCCAAATGAGAGGTTTTTTTTTCTGTTGCAGGGGACATTGTAAATGCCCAGAGATACCAGCTTTTACCAGATTATATTTATATGATAATTTTCCTTTAAACCCATCTCTGTCTAAGTGAGTGAGTGATTAAATGTTGAATGTGATGAGTTTTCAACACTACTAAATTGAAACTTTATTTTTTTTACATGGTTTAATATTTTTTTGTTATTAAAATTGAAGTTCCTGTTTCAAAGCTTACAGATAGATGGCTAATTTGTATGTCATTGACACTTTTGGCACTTTTTTGGAGTATTTTCATAAGTTTTGTTTTTTCATGTAAATGATTCAATAAATACCGTATCGTGACATTCATACCGAGGTATTACCGTACCGTGAAATTCTGATACTGTTACATCCCTAGTCGCAATCTTACAGTATAAAGACCAAGCCATTATTTTAATGGCCGGAGTTTACACGCATGAGGTGACTGCTTATAGATTGCAAGTGTTTTTTTTTTTTTTTTTTTGAGAAATGCAATGGTGATCAGGTCACCTTTGCTCCTGTTCAGTCCAAACTTCCCAAGGTAACATAAATAGTAAATTGTTTGTGTTGTGAGAAAATGCAACACGTTTTATGAATTTGTTTGGGTTGTGTGAAAATGCAGTGTGTTTTTTAAAGATGTGTTGTGAGTATTTGCAGCACATGTTCTGTCAAACAGATGAAGATATTTTCTTCATTTGCTGGTGTTTTTCGTAATTGCATGTTTTTTCTTAAAATGCAGGACGTTACACCCTTCTGGCCACCGTATTTTGCCTACCAAAAATCCTCAAATTTTTCTGATTCTCAATGTGAGATCCGCAAAAAAAATTACAAATTCTCATCATTTATTTACATAGCAGACCTTTCTAGTTCCTCACACCACCATTAGTGAAAAAGACTTCATATCGGCACAGTATTGATGCATTAGTAATGTTGCAGACCAGTGAATTCATCTCCATTAACATACACAGAACTGACCAGCGTTTCTCTTCCACTCTTCACAGATGATAACTGCCGTCTGGGAGATTATAAAAAATTGAAGAGCAAGATGTTGGACATACATGCTCAGAGGTACTTGACCGCCGCTAACCATGGCAGCCACGAGAAGGATATGGCCGCTAGGAAGCATCTGGTGGACATGATGTTTAAGCGATTTGACGCAGACGGCAATGGAAAAGTTGACAGCAGCGAGCTTTCACAGGTAACACTGAACTATAGCCATCAAATCAAACTCATTTAAAAGGCATTAATCTAACATTGACAACAAAAATGTATTATATGACTGCCCCTTAATCAATTTTTGATGTGTTTTTGATACCAATGTTAGATGTTAATTGATTTGTATATTTAAAGTGATTTTTACGACTTTTTATATCATTTGACTGGGTAGTTTCACTAAAAGGTGGCACAAGTAGCATTATTTGAACTGATTTGTTTACTTCCTTATTACCAAAGAGCTTAGAATGACCATGAGGCGACACTCAATAGAACGTTCCACTGCAACAGCAGCGCCCAGCAACAGCCCTGGATTCCGCCATTTTGAAGTGAAAGCGATCGGCTGTCCGTAGGATCTCATTACTGTCGCGATGGCAAGCAGCTGCTTTGTTTTTGATTTATTTATTTAAAAAGCACATTAAGACTTAGATACAACCTGAAAGACGACAAAACAACACGTATTTTCACAATCATCAGCACTTTTAATAGTTTATTTTAAAGACTTATAATATGCTGTTGTTCTATTGGAGTTTTTATTCCAAAATGGCCGCCGCGCCCTCTAGTGGCTGTTTCCCAAATTACACTAGAGTGTCGCCTTATGGTCTTTCTATGCTCTTTGCTATTACTGTTGAGTGAGTATTTAAACCAGTAACTAAACAGTTAATTTAAAACTGATTTATTTGGTACTGAATGGTGTTGCTGTTTAGTGAGTCAATGATTCATTAACGAATCAGAAATCAGAATCAGAAATGAAATGTGAATGTTGATTGAGTCATTGTATCATTAACTCAACCTTGATCAAAATGCTGATTCATTCAGCATATAAAGTATGGCTGCTGAGTGTGTCATTAACGTTTTTAGCTTGTTTAATAGGCATTGCATTTATATGCTATTTCTTTTTTACCTTCTTTAAATGCATCTGACGTGTTGATTTTTATCTAAACAAACAGTCAGTTTCAAATAATATAGAAAAATAGAGATGTTATAGAGTTGAACTTTAAGAATGCATAAGAATCCCAGCATTCTGGGTTGGTTGTGATGACACTTGTCATATTGAGCTTTGGATGTGTTAATCAGTTATGCATGTTTTTTTTTTTTTTTTTTATGACTTACAAATGAAAGCATTTGTATATATCTGATATTTCTGATAAAATAAAACATATGTAATTTTTTACACATATGCCATGCAAATAAAAGCATTGGGATATTTAAATTTATTTTCACAATTAACTTAAATTTAATTTAATTTAATTTAATTTAATTTAATTTAATTTAATTTAATTTAATTTAATTTAATTTAATTTAATTTAAAAATAAAATAAAATAAAATAAAATAAAATAAAATAAAAAAAAAATAAAATAAAATAAAAATATTAAACTACAGTATTTTTTCACACGCTTGCCTTAAAAACAAAATCGCACTAAATTAAATTTAATTAAATTAAATTTAATTAAATTTAGTTTAATTATTATTTATTATTATTTATTATTAAATTAAATTAAATTAACACGATGAGGTGGCGCAGTAGGTAGTGCTGTTGCCTCGCAGCAAGAAGGTCGCTGGTTCGAGCCTTGGCTGGATCAGTTGCCATTTCTGTGTGGAGTTTGCAAGTTCTCCCCGCGTTTGCGTGGGTTTCCTCTGGGTACTCCGGTTTCCCCCACAGTCCGAAGACATGCGGTACAGGTGATTTGGGTAGGCTAAATTGTCCTTGGTGTATGAGTGTATGGATGTTTTCCAGAGATGGGTTGCAGCTGGAAGGGCATTCGCTGCGTAAAACATATAGTGGATAAGTTGGTGGTTCATTCCACTGTGGCGACCCCTGATTAATAAAGGGACTGAATGAATGAATAAATTAAATTAAAATTTGAAAACAAATAAAATAAAATATTAAACACAAGTATTTTTCACACACTTGCCTTACAAACTAAATTAAAGAAATAAAAATAAAATAAATAAATAAAATTAAAAAATAAATTAAATAAATAAATAAATAAATAAATAAATAAATAGACAAATAAATATATTAAACATAAGTATTTTTTCCACACACATAACTTGCAAACAATATCACACTAAAATAGCACAAAATCAAACAAAGTATTACATTGTAAAGTTTATTAAACACATTTAGATTATATTGAATATCCGTTTGAAATTGTGCTGTATTAACCTTCATTACACATTTGGGACTGTTTATATTATTCAGGTTATTCTGAACTGTTATATTAGCTCTGTTAAATATATTATATTAACATAAAACATATTTAACATTTTGTCACACTTTTAATGGAAGGATTGTGTTAATGAACATGAACATGTGTAACTGTCCTGTGCAAAAAGGTAAAACACAGATCCATAATAAAGGTCAAAAAGCTAGGGCCCTATCATACACTTTTAGGGCCCTATCGTACACCCAGCGCAATGTGGTGCAAGGCGGGACGCAATTGTTGTTTGCTAGTTTCAGATCGGTTCAAGAGTCATTATGACGCGTTGCACCACGCTTTTTAAATAGCAAATGCATTTGCGCTCATATGTGCGCCCATAGGCGTTCTGGTCTAAAAAAGGAGGCGTTACGGTGCATTTCTGGTGCGTTGCTATTATGAGGAACTAAAATACACTGTTCAATAGACCAGCTTAGAGGAGATCTAAAGTCCAGTGCAGAGCGCGTTAGTTGTGCACCTTGCTTAAACATAGCTGTGGTGAGGGGGCGTGGCCGAGAGCCGTGGGAACGGAGTGAGGCCACCGTGTAAGTGGATACACCTGCGGTGCGCACCTGCCTCGGATCCCACGGAAGGAGCTCTGGACCATAAAAGGAGGACAGATGGCAGAGGAAACCGAGAGAGGACCGGGCCTGGACATATTTTACTTTTGCTTTCAGTTTGACGGCAGTCTCCGTGAGGAGCTGCCGTCCATTTGTTTTGGTTTAGACGGCAGTCTCTGTGAGGAGCTGCCGTCATTGTTATTAATAAATATTTTAAAGCTCCGTCAGTTCTCCGCCTCCTTCTTCCCGGCGACCAAAGGGCCGTAAACTTCAATACAATAGCTAAATATCCACAGGATGCACAGCAATACGCAATACGCAATACGCAAATATGAAAATGTTAAATGAAAATGTTAAATAAAAAAAATTTATTAAAGGATTAAAATATTGCAAAACACATTATTTTCTAGCCTACATAAATATAAAAACCACTGCCTCCATGGCTTCTTCATCTCAGGGAGCTTTTTCAGTTTATTCATGACAATTTGCTTTTGTATGTTATTGTTAGTAGCAGTATTATGCTGCTATCATCATTCATCCGTGTGCCTGAATCATTAAAATACAGCCCGTAGTCTGTTTTACTGTCAAAAAAGGCTTTCCTTGATAAAAGGTTTTACAAACTTTCTTTCCTCTATAATGTTTTCACTGATTTCTATGTAGAAAAATTTGTTTTGAAACAACATAATGACAGAATTGACTTTTTTTTTTAGATGGACCATGTCTTTAATATTAGTAAGGAAGAATGGAAGAAATAAATAAATCTCACAGTTCAATCAAAAGCCAGTATTTGAAAGCGTGCTGTTTGATTTACTGTATCCAAAGCCTAAATCTCTGATATGGCTGGGGATCTCTTTTACCCACTTTTCATTGCATTAATTCGAAACAGCAAATGAGCATGCGAGCTTGACTGTTTTTTTAATAACTCGCTCATAGACTGATCCCAGGTCAGCTGTGCTTTATCTTGGCCTGCGGCAGAAAGATTACACCTGTCCACAGAGATATACGCCGCATAGCAAAATGAGCAAAATATGAATTTATTCATATTTCTCTGGAGAGAAAACTCTGAACGCACTTTTCACTCTCGGTTACAGGCGTGAGCCATTTCAATTTTATTGTGCAATATTTTCATGTCATTTGCATATTTCTTCATTCTCGGTGGAAGGAGCACAGATCTCTTTTCATGCGTGGCAGATTGAAGACAATGTTTCTAAAAAAAAAAAATTCAGACCGGCCCTGAATACAAAAGCTTGGCCTCTTGACATGAAGCTCGTACAGGTCGAAAAGGTGATTGAGGAATGGGAACGTATAGAGAAATGCCTTGCAGCGAAAATCAAAACACTCGCCTCTAATAGAGCAATTAAACTCGGTCAGCATTCTGCTCACACAGCTCTTCCTGTACACCTGGGATAATCCAAACTATGAACATTTCCAGACGTGTTGAATTTGATTTTTTGTTTGCGCTTTAGTAAGCAATAGTGTTATAAGAAGTAATAATGCTCCAACTGTTAATGTATTTACTTACGTTAACTAAGTATGAATAATCTTGTAGTGCATTCATAGTTCAACATATACTAATGCATTGTTAAAGACCCCCTATTATATGTTTTTACCTTCTCTGCAGTATCTGTCTGTCTGTCTGTCTGTCTGTCTGTCTGTCTTTTATTATTTTTATTTATTTATTATTTCTATTTATTTAGTTCCATTATTATTTATTTAAGTATTTATTTATTTTTTTATCTGTATACAAACACACACACACACACACACACACACACACACACACACACACACACGTATGTATATATATTTTTTTATTGTTGTTTTTATTTACTTTATGTTTTTATTTATTTATTTATTTATTTATTTATTTATTTATTTATTCATTCATTATTATTATGTATTTATTTATAATTGTATTGAAAATTTATTTATATTTTTACACATTTTATATTTATGTTTTTTATTTATTATTTTTGTGTAGTATTTTTTATTTATTTAATTATTGATTGTTTGTATTTATTGTTTTTATTTATTTCTTTATTTATTTAATAATATTTGTATTGATGTATTTTTATTTATCATATATAAATATATATATTTATTATATATATTATATATATACATATATATAATGCAATTTTTATTTGTTATTTTAGTTCATTCATTTGTTATTTTTTATTTTTACTTCGTATATTTATTAGATTGTTTTTACTTTTTCATCTAT